GTGTGTGTGTGTGTGTGTGTGTGTGTGTGTGTGTGTGTGTGTGTGTGTGAATTTATGTTGATTTGGGTATCATCTGCATCAGTTACATATAGTGAATGTTTTTCTATATGAAACTGCTTTTTTTTTTCCTCCATTTGGGAGGGTTAAAAGGTCAAAATGCTTCTTGGTAAAGGGATGTCAGAAGAGGGTGATGAAGATGTTGGAATTTGTCCCTGGGAAGATAATAGACAAAGGACCAGGACCTCTTTTTGTCTGTCTCACTGTTTGTGGCCTCCCTCTCTCTGGCATGGGCACATTCAGAATGTATGTAGCATTCTGGATTGTCGTGATCATTCAGGCACACATAGTCTGTTCTAATCATTAAGACTGCACTTAATGCTCAGATTTCAGGAGTAGCAACATTCCTTACAAGGCTAATTGGGCCCCATTAATCCTTCTTAGAGTATTTAAATCCTTTTTTAAAGGCACTCTAAATCTGGGCACACACTTGACTAGTGGTATACCTATTACTAAAAACGCACATGGCACAGTAGCATTTAACACACCTATTTCCAGCATTTGAGTTTTCACATCTATCAATATTAGGACAAGAAAACAGTTAAGGACACGTGTCAACTATATCTGTCTCCCTTTAAAACAGGCTGCCTCCCTTGAGCTGTATTACAGATATATCCATACAATCCATAACAACATAGTAATGTAGAGATGTTTTTAAGTAAAGAAGAAATAGCTTCATCTCTGGTTTCAATAAAGTCTCATTCTTTAAGAAAATTTTCTGGGGGCAGACAAAGATGTGCCAATTCACATAGTTCACAAAGTTCTTTTATCCTCCTTTTCCTCTTGTGCACACACATAGAGCTCATTCCCCACTGCAGGAGTTCTGTAGGGAACTCACAGGATCCTGACCCATGATGACCACATGGAACAGAGGGTCCCTCTCCTGTGAGAGTCTGGAACACATGTCCTTTTCCCACTTCTGTGAGCTCTTTTCTTTGCAGCATCCAAGAAGTATCCCAACTTTATCCTCTCTCTGTCAAATGACATCTGGTTCCCTTTTTTGTTCTTTTAACTTTTATACAACTCTTGTGTAGATGAGTCTTGAGTTCAGTGAAGAACTTAAAACTAACCTTCCAAGCAGGATAGCTAAGAAAACCCTTTTCCTTTCTCCCTTGGTTTCTGATGTTTCCGTGGAAAGGGGAGAGCTTTGCTTAACTCATTCTTGAAGAAGCTCTGGCATCTACTGCACTCCCAAGGCTAATTCTCAGAGCTGTAAAAGCCACCCAAACTGCAAGACTCGAGATACCTTTCCTACTGTTGACTCCTGCCACATTCTGATACAGATGACTGTTAGAGTGTGTGTGCGCAGAGAGGCCAAATCAAGACTGGCTGAGTAACTGAGTAAGCGACTGAGAAACGTGAGCAGCGTTACTGCTGTTCCATTCATCATTCTAAAGTGCTGCTGTTTGCTTAGAGGGCAAAGAGCACTCCCTTCTACTTCAGGAGATCATCCACACGGCCCCCCAGGAGTGACTCATTCCTAAATTCTACCCCTGCCCTGCCCTGCCCGCTGCTACACTTTTCGCCCCGCGGGGAGGAGCGCAAATGTTCAGCTAAAGTGATCTAGAGATTCTCCATGAAAAAGAAGCACTTAGAGCACACCCCACCTCCCACCCACCCCTACTGCTAATGAGAAATTTTCAGAGGACGAATGTTTTCCTGAAGACCATGCCGGCACTTAACATTCCCCATCTGCTCATTCTTCATAAGAAAAAGCCAAACAACTAGCCTATTACTGAAGTATTCCTAAGAGGCTTTGGGGACTAAGACTTGGGGGATACCTTACTCTGATTTTTTCTTCCTCTTTAGGTCCAGAGGGGGCAAACCTCTTTATTTACCACCTTCCACAGGAGTTTGGAGACCAGGACATTCTGCAGATGTTCATGCCCTTTGGAAATGTTATCTCTGCTAAAGTCTTCATTGACAAACAGACCAATCTGAGCAAGTGTTTTGGTATGCAAAAGAAACCTAGCTAAATATTGCAGGTTTCCCAGTCAGGAGTCAGGATAGGGCCTTCCTCATGGTGGTAGCGCCTGACCTTCTAGTTGCATGTCAACAGATTTGGGCGAAGTCATTTAATCAGAAAAGGGGGAAGAGCCATACAAAGGGGGCATTCCCTTATGTTAGGTAATATTCTATACTGGAGTACTACAGTATCTTCCTGTATATCTGGTTCTCTTTTTCACCACAGAGCAGTAGTTGTTTCTTCCAGCCCTGAAGATAGAGCCATGAATGTTTACTCTGTACTACTACCGATGAGCACTGCTAAAATTCTGTTGCCAAGCCTTACTCCTGCAGTTTCAAGTAGCTCCCACACTGTATCAGGGCTTGTTACGGAGAAGCAGGGTGTGGCCAGGCTGCTGCCACTGCATCTCTGTGGACTAAGGATCTGGGTGTATCCCATGGTTACAGACAACAAAATTATAATGGGCTTATAAGATTGTCCAGGGCTGCCTGAATAGGCACAGAGCGCAGGAATATACCGGTACTAACCAAACACTCCAAAACACCTAGCTGGCTGCCCTCGCAGCCCTTCTATCCAAAGGGAACATCTTTTTTTTTTTCCACAAAATGATGAAAATTTGTGTCCCCGTATTTCTATACCACAAGGACAGCATTTGTTAAATCCATGACTGCTTTATTTTTTAAACTGAGTTAGCCCCCAAAGAAGTTGGGGTGTTCAGAGCCTTGTTTAGCAAGCTCTGGCCCAGTGTGCATCACAGCATTTTGCCGATATCACTCCTACAATTTAATAATTCACACTGTGGGAGGCAGTACATTTTAGAAAATAAGATATGGGCCAAAAAAAATAGGAATGTATATGCTACAAAGAAAATAAGGTAGGGTGGTTCTCAAATAGCCAGAAATTTAAACTTTATTTAGTTGACTGGTAGATAATGTGTTGGTTCCTACAGCTCTACTGCTAAGCTCTTTCATCATCCAGGAAAGCCTAGACCTCAGGGGTTAGAAGAATTAATGCACCAACCATTTCCAGTGACTGCTTTTACCCTAGGAGAAAGCCTAACCCACTGCCCCTCTCTTGTGGGAACTGTAAAGATCCCTTGGAACAGTTGCGGAGCACCATGAAACCTGGTGTACACATGTGAGAGCCACAGCTTACCTGTGGGACGGTTCCCGGGCAAGGCCTTCAGCAACACTTTTCAGAGCTTCATTACTGTTCTAAGTTTATTCGGAAGCCAAAAGGGATCGTAGTTTGTGATTTGAGGAAACATAACCTTGAAAAGAGATTTTGTCAATCCACAAACTACTTAACCAATACGTTCATGATAAGACAAGTTGTAGCTGTGAGAATCAGGGATGTATTTTCAATTTGTCTTAAAAGCTTTGCCTCCCAAGTTTCTCAGTGAGCGAGTCTGTGTGTCTTACACTCCCAGTTTGCTGAGTTGCTTGTCGTAATAAACCCATCCTTTCATCCATCTCACTCTTGACCCATTTCCATTCTTTAATCATCTTGCCACCTCTACCTAAGAGACCCAGAGAGAAGGAGAAGTCACATCAGAGTGAAAGTCTTGGATTTGAGATTACTCTTACTGGGAATTAGAGTTAATAGAAATTTAAACAATCATTTTTGCAATATAGCCTACATATGAAAAGCTTTCCTGCTTTAAGCCATCTGTCCACTTTTGCCAGCTGAGAACTCTGCTCAAAGTATGTTCATGTCCTTTGCTCCCTCCACTGGTTTGTAAACGAATTTTCTCTTAGTTTTAAACCTTCATAGAGGTGAAAATGCTAGAATCTTCCAAATTGCTGATGTTTGGAAGTGAAAATCAGTCTCTGGAATAGCCTCCTATTGCCCCTGAAAGTCCTGAAATGAAAAGCTCACGGCTTGACTCAGTATGAACCAAGCTATGCTTGTACTCCTGACTTGCCTCTCACTCCGTTGTTAAAACAAACTCAGTAACTAGAATTTTCTCTTCCTGAATCTCTGTAGAATATCATTGACTCTTTTTCAGAAACAGGCATGACCTGTCTCTGATGGTGGCTTATTGTTATAGTTGCAAATAACTGGGATATGTTTAGACTGTTATTAAGCCCTGAGACGAGAAGCTAGTATACATTATTCTAAGTCAGTTAATCTGGTAGTTGACTCATCCTGAAGCAGCCGACCCTGTGTAGGCTCTGTCTGTGAATATACATGTATACATAGTACATCTATATAGTACTTACTCTCTTCCTGAGGATTTTTTCCAAAGGATCCTTGGCAGGGTCGGGTGGGTTACAACCACATATGACTTCAGAGCACTAAACAGAGGGACAGAGTTCCTAGAGCAACTCAGCTTTAGTTTTATGGGGAGGGTTTTTGTCCTACATGGAGAATTTGTAGTCCAGCCAGCTTTTTTCACTCCTGGCCACTGGGTATTTCCACTGCTGTCCACAGACATGCATTGTGCATGCACAGGACAGCATAAACCCAGCAGAGCCCAGCTCAGACCCTGGGACTGGCACCTCTCAGCATTACAGCCTCGCTGTGCCGCCAGCCCGCCAGCCCCACTGTCTACTTGACTTCCCCTCCGCCCTGACCTCCCTACCTCCTTCCCCTTTATGTTTTCCAGGTTTCGTTAGCTATGACAATCCAGTCTCTGCACAAGCTGCAATCCAGGCTATGAACGGCTTTCAGATCGGCATGAAACGCTTGAAGGTGCAGCTGAAGCGCTCCAAAAACGACAGCAAACCTTACTGATCCTAGCCCCAGAAGTTCCCTGCTCTTATTTTAGCTTTCTTAGGGTAAGTCCCACAAGCCAGCCTGTTCTCAACAGGGAAGGCAGAGGAGGGACCACAATGGCAACTTGTACCAAGAGAGACGGTTATTTTACAATAAGGCCTCCATTTCCTCCACTCATGCCCCCTCTCCCAATCTGCCATAACTAAAACCTGGGCTACCTTGTTTCTATTGAGTAAATCCCTCCTCCAACTGTGCCACTGTATTCTCCTTTGTTTTGCGATTTTAATATCCTTACTCCTTTTTAAAAAATTTTTGTTTTGCTTTTTTAAAGAAAAACATATAAAGAAATAAATGACATCTTGAGAATTTAAAAGGCAAGCAAACACTAATGTGCAATTCTAACTCTGAAACCACTGGTGCCCCAAGAGCACTGCCTGGGGAGCTCACCCCTCCTTGCCCGCCCGCCCGCTCCTCGGAGGCCCCACGGTTAGAGTGAACGTGGCGGCCTAGCAGAGGGAGAAGCCAAGAGAAGCACTTAGAACTCCACAAAACATCCTCCCACTACATTGGTTTGTTTTAATATAAGTAGGATTTTATTTTAGGGTTCAAAGAAACATGACATTTATTGGTCAGATTATTACACTGGTTGTCTATTTTGTTATTGTTTTATTTTTGTTTTTAGAAAGGATTAATGTAAAAAAAAGATTTAGAGATCTGTTTCTTAAAGCTACAGGGTTTAAAAAATCAAATAAAAATGAGTGAAAATACTTGATGTTTCTTGAAAGATAAATTTAATAAATAAATAAATAAATACATAAATAATACATAAATAAAAAAGAAAGCCACAGGCCTGTAAATTTTATTTGTAAAAAAAGCATTTCTATTTTTATACAAAATTTTTACTGCCTCAGAAATAATGGAAGTTATTTATTGCCTATTGTTAACTTATTGGGTACCTAAAGAGCAGTTCTCTGTCTAGCTAGAACCTTCTGAAGTAGTCTCTAGAGGAATTGTTCTAGGAATGGGCTTTTTTTCACCGTTGAACCCTAGACCTAAAGTTCATGCTTTATCCTCCTGTTGTTTGTATCTGTCTGATTATTTTGTTCGTAATTTCCATTATCTAGTTTATAATTCAGTTGTCTTGACTTCCCCTTATGTCACCTTTGTTCAGACTGGACCCTCTCCTCTGTCCCTTGCTAGTCCTTCACCCCAAAGCACCCAGAATCCATCCCCTCTCACTCTCTCCAGATGGATTCTCTTGGGGTTTCATTGTGCTGTGGAAAAAGAGTGTAAGAAATGCAAATTATGTGAATGGCTCATAGACTCCCTGAAGACCTAAGATTTGCATTAGTTTTTCTCCTGCACCCTTGAAAGTGATTTTGTTGCTGCTGCGTAGATTCTGTGTAACTTTACTCTTCCTTGTTTTTTCCCTAGACATCTCCATGCCCGTTAGTTCATCGTTTGCCTAGCATGTCCCTGTGGCGTCTCAAAAAAGTTTCATCGTCCCGTCATTGTTTCTGATGTCTTTCTGACCTCACATCATATTTGGTTCTCCTACTGACCTTTGATCTAGTTTTGACCTTTGAAATTTGCATGTGACCTCATCTAGCTATGAATTCTGGGAAGTCAATGTGAAAAACATTGCTGCATTCATGCAAGACTGAAATTATTAGACAAATTATAGGAAAAAAAAAACCTGTGGCAAAAATGTTTCCTTCTTATTTTTTTTCTTTTCATAAAACAGACTTGAAAGTATTACACAGGGATTGGCATTCTGCCTGGTCCCTGGTGACAACAGCAATATGTGTCCAGGGACACAGAGTGTTGGTTTCTAACAGACTACTTCCAAAAACAGTTTGAGAAAAAAAAAACTGTCTGATTTTAAGTCTCTAGAGGTCTGTAATAGTTTTTACATTTTTCAGGCAGTGTAAAGTTTTTTGATAAGGCCATTTTAGGTGGCTCACTTTCTCATTAAGATATATATAGAACCACTTTTTGTAGATTAGTATAAGAAAAATATTTACCCTGTTTCGGGGCAAATGCTACCTATTTGTGTCACCTTTTGCTGAACTGACTCACAGTTAGACAATCCATGGTTTAATGCACATGAAATGACCTATATTTTATACTGTTCCAATGTACAGGAGAAAGGTTACTGTAAACTGCGTCACGTTGGTGCTTCTGTGGATTAAGTTGTGGTCTCATCATGAGTCTTAAGGTCTTAATGTTATTTGTTGATAAGACAAGCTTAGAATTGGTTTACTGAAAACAAAAAAAAAAAAAAAAGAATTTCAAAAAAAAAAAAGTTGTTTGCTTAAAAAAAAATTCATATGAGAGAAAAAAAAACTATTCCAGAATAAGTTTTGTGTTGGCTTGAGAAGCATTGGTGTCACTTTTGTTTATCGTGAACTATTAGATGTGTTTGTGTTCAGCAAAATGTGATTTGTTTTTGTTTTTTCTTTTAAAGAAAAAAAAAGTGAAAACTATATTGTGCCAAATTCCAAAGGTACTTCCTTCCTAGAGCTTCGGTGTGTTTCTTGTGAGAAGTAATTTGATAACATGGGTATTTTATTATGTGTTTTGTATAAATCCCTAATATTTAAAAAAAAAAAAAAAAGGTTACAAAGTTTGTTAACTTGCTATTCTGTGGTCTTGTTGCCTGAAATTGTTATTGTTTGTTATTTCTCTATGCTGTTTTTTGTAAGACATTGTATAAGTGCTCATGTCTCACTTTTCTAACCACTCTGCACGCAGTGCTGTGAAGGCAGCCCTCACATGTATTTTCTTCAGAATATCTGGAAACCTCTAAGGTGAGAAAGTTCTGAACTGTTAACCCTTTCTACCAGAGCTATCTGGAATGTTGCTAACTTTTTATACTGTCATCCTTGGGTTTGTTTTGGGGTGTTTTTGATTTGGAATTTTTTTCCCATCTGTATCTTCTGAGTTATTTTTGTTCTTTGAGATCCCCAGCCACCCAAAAAAACTTTTAAGTCTTTTTCCTATACCATTTTTATTTTCTTTTTTTATTTCCCCTGCATTCCTGTTCTCCTCTGCTCCTTTAGTTTAAGTTTAAAAGATTGAGTAAAGCCTGTGAAGGTAAAAATAGGTAGATTCGGCCCCTACAAAAACCCTAAAGACGATGTTTGCTTTTTGAGATCAGGTTTCATGGTATGTCCTAGTGTATTTTCATACTCCCTGCAGTTAAATGGCTTTTATAGTGGTCCAGTCTTTCAAGGGATTCTGCGTTTGTTTCTTAAACACTCCTAAGTAATGCTGAATCAGCCATTATGCTAGGGATTCTCGAACTCCAGCTGACACCTGCGTATGCAGAGCCTCCGGCCTCTCCATGCCTTTCTGGTTTTCTAGGGTGAACACACTTAAAGGGGCTGGCCATTTAAGAGGAGCTCAGCTGTGCTCTTTACCACAGTTACTAACCAAATACTAGGACTAGTTCCTGCTGCCACTTTTTCAAGTGCCATATTCCTCCGAGTCTGACTTCACATGAACAGATGTCTTGTTTTGACAGACCTTACTGTCATGCGTCCAGTCCCAACATACAGCCAGCCCCTGGGAAAGCATACCCCGCAAGCTTCTGGCTCAGCTCCCTTTCCTTCTCACCCACCCCATTTGGTTTAATGTGTGTGTGAACGTGATAGCCCTGAGATGGAAAGGATTAGCCTCTCACAATGCAAAAAAACAGTTTCTTCCTTACAGCACGTGCACTTCCAGTGACATGATCCGTGTTACCCCCCACCTGTTTACTACTGCCGGGGCCTTCCTTCATCCTTGAGGGCTATTTTGTACTTTCTGCAGCACTCAGCTTAATAACAAAGTGACCACACACATCTCTCAGTCTCTACTATGTGGTGGTGTGTAGGTACACGTAGAAACACAAGAGAATACCAGTTGTATTTCGTAGACCATCTCATCCGGAATCTGCTCATTTATCAGTGACATAAATCTCAAAAAGAATCTGATGATTATTTTCCCATGGAAGCAAACTGCCCTCCTTCCTCTTGACCCACCCACAGTCAGGTCCCCGTCCCTAACTCCCCAGAGGCTCGGGCCAGGCAGGCACTTTCTGTTGATGTTTCTGATTTTGCAGGCAACCAAGACAGTACATTGAGGGGGAGGCTTTTGGTTTTGCATGTTTCACTGTTAGAAAGAGAACCTTCCTCAGAGACAAACTGTCCTTTATCTTTCAATATCAAAAGGAAAAAGCTGCAAGGGTGCACAGGGCCTGTTTCCGGAAGACAAAATACAGGGAAACTGCGTTTGAAAAATCAAGTGTAGAGAATAGTCTTTTAAAACTCACTCAGAGAACTCTGATCAGACGCCTCCGAGGTGTAACAAGTTCATCTTTCTGTCACCACAGGGGTTCTAGGTCTTTGGCTTGTGCTACTCTGGAATCATTTACTGTTTCTGTTTTTATTATCTTAAGTGCTAATTAAAAAAAAATAAAACTTAAAAAAATGTAGTTTCATTACCTTTTGAATAATGTCATACAAAAATGTATTTGTGTTTTTGTGCTGTGGAAATTGTTGTTTGTAGATTAATAATACCATTTTGTTTAGAATTACAAAATAGTTTTTAAATATTGTCTGAGAAAAGCCAAAGTTAATGCAATCTAGTGGAAACTGTAAGACCATTTGAGTATTGTTTCTGTTTTATTGATGCATTTGGATTTTGTTGTTTGATGGAATTTGAGCCAAAAACAAAAAACAAAAATGCAGGCTTTCCTATTTCTACAACTGATTGTACTTATGCATTTTGTACCAGTGGGATTTTTTATACTGGAGATTAAAAAAAAATGGAAATTTTTGTGGCTTACTCTTGTGGGCCCCTGACAATGACTGATTTCAAGTTTGATTTCTGGTTGATAGAAAGAAAGTTGCTTTTCTTTTAAGATTAAAAACTTTGGCTTGATTTCTTTTTTCCCTTTGCTTATATCTAGCATTAGAATTTTGTCTTAAAATACAGCGGTAAGTTTCACTTTTTATTCTGTATTGTGCAGTTACACAATAAGATAATTAGATTTAGAAGTACTCAGTCACTTTAAGTGGATAAATGTATTAGTTAAACTTTAGGAGTTTGCTTTTTTGCTGTTTAGATCGAAGTTTTTTCTGACCCTTCTGTCCTCATTGTGAACATAACCGTGTAGCTGAAACAGTCAGACTTATTTTTGTAATATGTATGTTACTGTGTGATGCGGTTTTTTGCTTCTGTCTCCAATATTAAACCATTTTCCTAATACTTGTCTCTCTCTCTGCGTGTTGTATCGTTGGTGGTCATTCTGTGTTGGCGCATCTACACACCTCACTGTTGCACGTTTCTGTTTTTTTCCATATGTTGTGTAAAAGATACAGTCGATTCCACCTAAGTGAATATCTGATTTGGGCAACAAGGAAACTTCACATCCCGCCTGGTTTATGTACCGCCTGCCGCCGCTAACGCTGCCTCCGAGACAATCTGCCCTGTCCCTGTGTCCCTGTGGTTCTAAGAACTGCCGACAGGGCTGGACTTGGCAAAGGCATTTTACGGTCTTTTGACCACTCATGTTTCTCTCCTCTCCCCTCCCTCATATCCACAGTTGCTAGCGTTCATGGCGTCTCTGCTACAGCCTTAGGAGGAATGGAAGCAGTAGACCGGGCTCCCTCTGTCTACCTTCATTTCAAAAGTCACATGACTGCAGTCAGGGTTATAAAGGAGGCGAACCCTAAGGGTTTGTCAACAGGGGTAAAAAGAGTTACCCTTAGGTGTCCGCTACACGGATCGATGGGTATGATTAGAAATGCATTTCTGCAAGCTAATTAACTTCATTCAGGGGCAGCTTCCGTTACTAAACCAACAGACGTGGGAAGGCTTCCAGGCTCACCAGTGAAGCCGTGCTCTGGGAGGGATGTGGGAGACTTCTCAAGTCCTGGCCGTCCACTCCCAGAGGGCGCGCGCTCACAGTGCTGTAGGCCCCACGCCCCTCCTGGAATGACTATGCTCCCACTGTCACCAGCCCCGGCCAGAGAAGAACTGTGCCCACCCCCCCCCTGCAGGGAAGCCTCAGCCTCCCGGCCCTACTGCCTGCCTGCTCAGGAGCCCGCTGCCCTCAAAGTCTTCCCAGATCCCATGGCCGTCTGCTCCTTCTCTTCTCACCCTTCTAATGTTTCAGTGCACACAGTGCCTGCATTGGGCCACCTGTGCCTGAGCCTGGTGCCATTAACAGCTCTGGCTGCCACACACAGACACGCACGCGCACACACACACCTCTGGTTTCAGCTGGCCCCTCAGTCTTCAGTCAGGTCAAGAGCCACGAGCCTACCAACCGGAAGAAAGGCGGCTCTTTCCCTAGGCCGAACACCTCACTGGGAATGAGCTTCAGAGTCCTAAAGGCACGCTGATGGAAGCTGATTTCTAGTGACACGTCTGCTGGCTTTCTCATGGGGCCGTCAGTGTGCCTCTGAGAGGCCACTGCTTCCATTACTGAGGAAAGACAGCTGCAGGTGTGATTTCTTCTTTCTTCTCTGGAGGAATGGGCCGCATGAGGGAGGGAAGAGCTGGGAAAGAGGATGATAAAATTCTTTCCAAGGTGTGTTTTTGAAATATGAATATGACCACAATTCAGCAGAAATGTTCACACAAAGATAGACAAAGCGGGCTTCTCCACAGAAGACACTAAGGCTCGTCCTGTAAGCACTTGTGACTATAAAGTCGACCGACTGATCCTTAAATTCACTCAGTGTTGATTTTGTAAAACTCTACCATGCTGTGAGCAGGCCTGCCTACTGCCTGCGCACAGGCACCTTGAGAAACCACAGAACAACATTTCCTGGCTGCTGGAAGCCATATGCCTGCCAGGCCGCAGCCATGGGGTGTGAGCGCAGGCTCGTAGCTAGCAGGCTCGTAGCTAGCAGGCTAGGCAATGCAGTGAACACGAGCAGACCGGGCATCATTCCTGATAAGTGAATAAAACACTGTGGCCAGACAATCAGCTTATTCACTTATCAGGAATCGACTGTTCTACTAATTCACTGTTTTCGTTTTTCATTTCTGTTGTAGCTCACTATTTTTGCTGTGTTCTGTTTTTTCCTCTCATGCTTGGGAAAATTCACTGGGAATATTACCTTCGTGTGACCATGAACCGTTTCTATCGAGTGAAAATGGTATCTTAACAAAATCTATGCACTTGCTATCAGGAACACAATACTGGATGTGTCTTATATATATTGAACTATATAGTACTCGATTTCTTAAATAAAGCTTAAGAAAGGACTTGTGTGTAAAGTTAATGTGATTATTTCTCAAAGCAGTGTTTTTAAGGGATATTGTTCTTTTAAGTCTTGAGTGATATAGGATATTTTTCATTAAAATTATATCATTGTCTTTATGAATTAATATTCAATAAATGGACTTTGGAAACAAAACAGAGTGGAGGGGGGAGTTCTTCCAAGTGTATTTTAGCAAGGGCTTGGCATCCCATCTTTGTGGTCGTGGCTAATCTCTAGCCAAGTGCTTCGTAAGACAAAAAAGAAAAAATCCTTCACCTCCAAGGCCACTAGAAAGCACCTATCTGCACCCGAACCTAGAAAGCCTACTGCCTTTGAATGTGTGATCCTCTTGGGCTCTGAGAAGGGGATAAAAAAGGAAGGCAGGCCTGAGAGTGAGGTTGATACATGTCAGATGAGGCGACCCTGAAACCATATCCTGTGGAGGACACTGGCAGCTCTGTTCAGGGCCACAGAATGAGGGACAGCAGAGGAAGCATTTGATCATTCTGGATGAGATGGCAAGATTTCAAAGCCACTCGTGAGAAGGAGCTGGCCTGTGAATTTCCAGGCTGAAACGGGAGGCCTGCTGCTTGGTCCTTTGAGAGGATTTTTGAAATTTTTCTATACAGGCTTTAAGTTTGAATGGAATGGTATTTCTATTGGATCTCTCCACCTTGGGAGTTTTAGGTTAGATTTGTTTTTCTTTCTCATGCATGAGTCTAAGAAAAACTAAATTTCTGCCTGTAAAATGGTACAGGCACCTCACCCTTTATGAGACAGATCTCATCTCTGTGAGGAACAGAAAGAGTGCCGTTACTGAAAATCCACTCATGAGCCAGAACTCCTCCCCTGACCCTAAATTTCCAACTTGGAAACCTGACACACACCCCAAAAATCAAAGCTTGTAGTCAAAGGCCAGGGTCACAAACAGGTTGTCACATCAAGGGAGGGGCTTGATAAAATGCCGTTGGTGGCACCATGCTTTGTAAGAAAGAAACACTGGAAACACTGGTGTGCTAGATCTGGGCTCAGCCATTACAAGCTGGCTAGCCGGAAGGTGGCCTTCACTTTCCAAAGCCATAGGCAAGATGGCTGTGGGGCTCAGTAGCACAAGAGAAGTGCAGGCTAGCACACTGTCCTCTCAGGTCTGCAGCCCTGAGTCCGGTGTGCTCCGTGCAGGGAGGTCAACTCGGTGCCAGCTGAGCTGGCATCATGCGGAATACTACATTTTCTTTAACCTTGCTGGTCAGCAAAGCAGCCTGGAACCAGCTTCATCCTTGCTGCTTCAGGGGGTTGTCTTTAAGGCAGGAAAAAAAAAGTATCTACAAACAGAACACACACAGGCACTGGGTTCTGGAACCAGTCAGTCACAGCTTAAGCTGCACATGAGGTTCTCCGATCATGGCTCACTGAGTGATGCTTCTGTCATGAAGTTGGTGTAAAAAGAAAACATTTATGCACATTCTCAGGAGAGCCCAGACCGCCCCAGTTTGAATGCCAGCTCTCCCACTAATTACTGATTGTTGCCTATGTGTGCCGTAATTTCCTCACTAGTACAACCAGGTGAAACTGTACCTAGCGGGTGTGATTGTTAGGAGGATTAACCAAACGCACACACAAGATGATTGGATCACAGCATTACTATTCAGCAAGCCATAATGAATGAACAGTAGTGCCCAGTCAAGGCTTGGCCGCCTACCCACTGACTGCTCAGCCACCCCTAGCGTGCCTCACGGCACTCCCGGGATGCCATGGCTGGCCAGAATCTACAGTCTTTCCATCGAGAGTTCTGTGTAACAAATCCTCGAACAGACACTTTCCATTCCCGAGGAACTTTCCGAAGGTGACACGAAGCCAGTAGGCCACCCTGAGGCTCTGAGTCTGCCAACCAGCACATTATTCATGCTGAGCCCCTGTGCAGTGCGGTGTCACGTGTTGTCTTTCCCAATAGGGAAGGCTCGCTCCTCCCCTTTGTCGCCAACACAGGGGAGAGAGAAGGTTGCCTGTAGGTCTGCCTCTCACAGGCCTGCAGAGTCTAGACCTTTCCAAGGCAAACCAATGTCTTCACCAGCAGCCAGGCTAGGTCTTCACATGCTCATGCTGGGGAGAGCAACGGGGAGGCTCGGAGTGGAGCGCTCTCTACATCATCCCTGTGTTCATCTCGGCTTAGCCGAAAATGGTCTGCTTATGTCGTTTCACTTACTGCCCGTGTCGTGTCTCCTCTAGAACACCAACCTTGTTTGGAGTACATGTAACAGGTCCCTGCTTGGCCACAGAGTGGCTGACAAGCTCTCCCCTACCAGAGCCTGCGGCAAACATTGCACCCGGAGCCTCCCTGTCCCCGAGTTCACCAATGCAGCGCTTGGCATCCACCAATCGCTAGGTACCGAGTACGTGCCGCGTGGGCCTGTCTCCCCGGCCAGACACATGCTCACAGAGCCTGGTGGCCATGGAAGCAGGGAAAGAGCACGGGTCAGTGGGCAGACTTGGGGGGTACGCAGGATGCGCCCAGGCGTTTGGCTGTATCAAATGGACAATAACTCAGGAAATTCATGCATGCAGAGAGATACCTAACTGTGGCATGAGCCAAGGATGGTGGAAACTGGAAGTCTCTTGGCAAAAGTGGGGAACCTCCTGGGAAGCCTAGGACAGAGGCGATAAGGAGGAAGAGCTTGTGAGCCCCAAAGACGGAGGGAGAAACTTCCCACAGAGTTCTTAGGCACGGGGTCCTCAATGGCAGGAGATGCCCGTAGATGGGTCAAAATTTGCAGATCTCTTTCTTTTAAGTGAGTCTTCATCCTCTCCGGAAAGTTTTCTACTTAGGGATGCTCTTTGATTTAATTCTAACAGTTGAGAAACCAGAGGAGCCATAGAACACTATGGACAGAGGCAGCTGGTTGCAAGGCCCTCCCAAGAAACAGGCCCTCTGGTTCCTCTTGTGTTCCTGCTGGGCCTGGCAATCTGCAGTCTGTAGCTGGCTGGACCCCGCCCGAC